GCGTCGCGCTGCTCTCGCCTGGCGGCAGCACAAGGAGCAGGCACAGGCGACGCACGGCAGCTCCGACGCCTATCACAGCAGTCGGAGGGAGGAGGTCATCTCGAATGCGCGCACCAACTGGGAGCTGTTGCGCTCACAGCAAACGCTGGGCAGGCCCAAAGGCAAGCTAACCAGCGAGCTGGCCAAGATCAATGAATCGAATGAGGCGGCTGTATCCGAGGAGCCGGAACAGGAGCAGCCGCAGCTGCAGCCTCGCGATGAGCTGGCCGAGCTGCAGGCTCTGTTCAAGCTGCCACTTATAACTGCACAAAAGCCTAAGCTGGATGAGGAGGATGCCTCCTCGGAGGCTTCTAGCCTGGGGCCCAATGTGGACTCCTCTTCGAGCTGTTACAGCACGGATAATGAGGACCCAAGCCGACAGCAGAAAGCAGCAATCGATGAAAATTCCAATAAGCTACTTAGCCCAGCAGCTCTTGCTCCTCCATCTCCTCAGCCTGCCTCGGCGCCTGTTGATGGCGAGCGCCGGGCCTCGCCCACTCCTCCCGCTGTAATACTGACTCCACATGCCTCCAGCCCATCTGTGAGTGCTGCTACGCCCACGCCCACGCCCCCGCCCCCGGCCACGCTGACGCCAACACCTCCGCCTACTACAGCAACACTGCCACTGCCAGCCTCCTCCACTTCCAGCTCAGCTGCCACTCGTCCAGGCAGCAGCAAGCAACGTCTGCGGCAGACGCCCATCTCGCAGCAACAACTGGGCTTACAATTGAATCGAGGTGCCAATCCGAGCAGCTGCAGACGTTATATGACTGGCAGCTTGGTACGCGCTCAGACCATCAGCAGCAGCAGCGCCAGCAACAGCAGCAGCTCCAATAGCGCAGGACGAGCGAAGCAAAGCAACAGCAACTCGCATCAATCTGGTAACAATGTTGTCTCGCTGCCACAGAGCAAGGCGGGCACGACAGCTCCTGCTGCGACAGTCACGCCCGCCACAACGCCCACGCCCACACCGAATACTGCCATAACGGTATCGAAGCCCAGCGCCGCGGAACGCGAGCGAGAGCAAGGCGGCGACTATCTAATCGAGATCTGTGGCAGATATCTGAACATCTATGGCCAAGGAGCGCTGCGTTTCATCGACAAGCAATGGAATCCATCAAAGGCCAACGATGTGCATACGCTCAACTTTAGCTACATCAATTTCAATAGCATTGTCTGCATGCTGGGCAGGATTAAGATACGCTTTCCGCATGCCGAGCATTTCGTTTTCAGGGAGACCAATATCAGTTCTCTAGGTCAGTTGAATGCTTTGGCTGAGCTGCAAGGCTTAACTTCGCTGGTCATCGATGTCGAGGGCAACACCATAACGAGTAAGCCCTCCTGGAGAGCTTATACCATTTATAGACTCTCTCACTGGGGCCTGAAGCAGCTCAATGGGCAGGAGGTCAGTGAGGCGGAGACAGAAGCAGCTAATGCCATGTACGCAGGACTTTCGAACTTGGTCTTGTGGTCAATGCCTGATGTCATGCTGCAGCCGTTGCTGGCCCGACTGCGCCTGGACGAGAGCTGCACGGCCAGCAAGCTGTCGCCCAAGGAGTGGCTGCTGCGTGCCGAGAACAAATCGTTACGCCTTGTCGTCGGCAAGGAGGCTCTGCAATGGAAGAAGACAACAACCACAACAACGACCACTGGTGATGGTGGTATGACTGCCATGACACCCAGTGTCAGAGATCGCGGCAGACAGCACTTTGCGCTTATGCTGGAAAACACCTGCAACGCTGTCGAGAAGCTGCACAAACTGGAGACGCTCTGGCCCAGCATGTTGTTGGATATAGTTCGCAACACGTTGCTCGACTATGCACAGCTGGATGTCTATCTGCGCAATCTGATGGCCGAGCTGATGAAGTGAACTCTTACCAGTTAGACCAATTCTGACTAGGAAAGCCAGCAGCCAGTTGAATCTAAAGGCAGAAATCTGCGCTAGAAATTTGCCTGTGGAATCCGCTAATATCGCGTTCTAGTTGATTTGTTTTTAGACTCAAGCGCTTTTTAGTGAAGAATCAGTAAACGTTATTCCTATGATCCTAGGCATTTAACCAAGTCATGTCAGGCAACCAGCCTGTATATAGTCCAATTTTTATATATATTTAACATTAAAAACTACAAATAAAACAAAATTTAACCTTGGCTGACCAAAGTTTGGAAAGACTTTTGCAGAGAGCAGATTGTTCCTATGAGGGAAAAGATGTTGATCTCTATCAATTTAACTTGTAAGAACAGATCCTTACTATACAGTAGGTTGAATATTGTGAAGTTTAAAAATGTAGATAATAAAAAGGGAAAGTTTCGTTATATATTAAAACAGACGACGGATAAACGGATATAGCTGATAGATACAGGTCAGGCATACATATATTTTATCTTTCTAATCTATAGTTCCTACTATAACTACAATACCCTCTGCAAGAGCATAATGCGGCTTGCCTTTTGCACCCCTAGGTTAAAGCTTATTCCATGAGCTCAAGATTCTGCCATAAGACACATAACCTATCTAAACAAATGCTATGCCATATATACATAAATCGAAATCCTAATCAATGTCGATGACTACTCGGCCTCTAGTTTGTCCGCATCACTGCTGCTTTTCGCTGACTTTTGAGTCTTTTTCAGCTTGTCTACATAAATGTTGAGTATGGCCTCGATGCCTGGGTAGATAATAAAATTGGTTGTGCGTATTTTCTTATCAATTAGATAGGATGTCACCGACTCCGTATTGAAGGCAATGTCCATGGCATCGCTGTGATTAATCTTGTCCACTTGATTGCGCGCGACCTTTATCACACAATTCTCAAACCCGTTGATTCTGATGCTGAGATCGACCTGGTAGGCCGCATCCACATCGGGCCAGCGTTGTGCCAGCACATCCTTTGTCCACTGCAGCTCTTCACACTCAACATTCAGGCGACCCGGTACGGAGACAAACTTTGACCACAGCTCGGAGGCAAAGTGAGGCGCCATTGGTGCCAGCATAATGATCTGAGCTGCCAAAGCCCGCTCATATTGTTTGCCCAGACATTGAATGTGCTTGGGAGTGCGCTGGAAAGGGAGAAGGAGTTGTTTAATGAAGTTTATAGAGCAGTTTTACCTACTCTCAAAGAATTGGTTAGTCCCTGCATTTTGGATATAGCCACGCTCAGCTGATGCGCATGGCGATAGTTAAAGGTGGCGCCTTTCACATAGAAATTGCGTGCATCAAAGAGTTTTGCATCCTCGGCCAGAAATGCTTCGCTAGCTGTGTCCGCTAGTTCCGCTTGGGGCTGCTCTTCCCGAGCTGCCTTGAACTCATCCAAAGTAAGCCACAAGCGCTTCTGCCAGTTAAGAATGCCAGGAAAGGCTGAAATGGTAAACATAAGAGATTTTTATATATATTCAATTCGGAATAAAATACGACTCACTGGCGCTCGACCAATTGCGATGTGATGTAGGTGCCACATCTGCAAGAATAATCAGCCTGGCTGTATCCGTGCCGTATTCATTGAAGATATCATCCGGCTCGACACCATTGAGCTTCGACTTGGACATCTTCTCCCAGCTCATGACCACAGGCTCTTTGGTGGTCTTCAGTAGCGCTTGATTCTTTTTGGCATTCACAATCTCCACCTCCGACTCACGTACATATCGACCACTGCCTTTCACTCTAAAGGAGCGCGACATCACCATGCCCTGAACGAGCAGACGAGAGAAAGGCTCCGAAGTCGGTGATAGGCCGCAGCTGTGCAAGAAGTGGTTCATAAATCGAGCATAGTAAAGATGTAGCACAGCATGCTCTTTGCCTCCTATGTACAAATCCACAGGCATAAAATTGTTCGCTAGCGTGGCATCAAAGATTTCATTTGCATTGTGCGCGTCTAAATAGCGCAGATAGTACCAGGAGCTGTCCACAAAAGTATCCATAGTATCAGTTTCTCGCTGTGCCCCGGATTGCCCACATTTGGGACAGTCGCAGCGCAGCGCATCCTTGCCAGCATCCCGTGAAGGCAATGTAACGGGCAGCTGTTGTTCCGGAACGGGCACAGCTCCACATTTGGGACAGTGTACAATAGGTATGGGTGTGCCCCAGTAGCGTTGTCGTGAGATAAGCCAATCCTTCAACTTGGAGGAAACACGATAGCCACCAACGTTCAGTCTCCTTGCAGCCTGTAGCACCTCTTTGCGTAGATGCTCCCAGTTGCCAGGATTAATACGTTCCTCATCTTTCTTAGTGATGCAGAAAGCCAAGCCTAGGCTGTCCCACAATTCACGATCCTCAGCGCGAAAGGTAGGCGCAGCTAAGTAGACATCACAATCCGCCGGAAAAGCGGCCTCATCATTGAAAACCACAGGTATCGTAGTCTCCGCAAATGGATTCTCCACGCTCAACTGTTCCGCATCGTTTAGTTGTCTTAAATGATGTTTGCTGCGCAGTACGAGGAAGGCGTGCGGATCCTTAAGATGTTCAGGATTTGAAGTCCACACGCGCAGCAGATTCGAGGCAGAGGTTGGCAACGTGAAGGCATATCCATTGCACTCGCCAATCCAATGGCGTTGTAGATTTATAATATCTCGCCAATCGCGCAGTGTGGGATCATCCAGGCCATCGAGCAGCTGCTTGGCATACGCGGTCGTGCGTATGAACCATTGCTTCAACAGTTTCTTTTCCACTTTGGCACCGGAGCGCCAAGAGCAGCCATTAGCGTCGACCTGTTCATCAGCAAGCACTGTTTTATCCACTGGATCCCAGTTAACTAGGGCCTCGTTTTGATACGCCAGTCCTCGCTTGTGCAGCATAAGAAACAAGCTCTGCGTCCATTTGTAGTACTCTGGACTGCTGGACGACAGCTCGTGTGCCCAGTCGAAGGAACAACCCAGCCGTTCCAATTGTTGCTTCATTTGGGCGATATTCTTTTGGGTCCATTCAGCAGGTGCTACTCCTCGTTCATTTGCTGCATTCTCGGCTGGCAATCCAAATGAATCCCAGCCGATGGGCTGAAATACATTCTTGCCGCACATCCGCTGAAATCGAGCAACTGCATCGCTGATCGTATAAACGCGCACGTGCCCCATGTGCAAATTGCCTGAGGGATACGGAAACATAGACAGCACGTAGAATTTATTTTGTACATCTTTAGTATTAAAGTGAGCATTGTTCATGTGTTCATTCCAGTGCTTCTCAATTCGATGTTTCAGCTCACTTGTCAGCTCCAATTGCTAAAACAAAAAATTGTTTATTTGGTTTAAATTACATTTACCGGTATACCTCACTGCCCGTGCAACTTTGTGTCAACAGTCGGCGACACCAGTTCAATTTAAAGCCACGTAAAATGTGACTGTACCTCAGAGATTGCATTTCGTCTGTTTTAATTGATCAATTTCCACATAAACAGCAACTTGTTCTGCTGAATGTATTAAATAACAAATTGAAATGCAGTGTGCAAATCAAACAGCTGATTGGTATGTAGGGCTGCCATATCGCTTTAGTTACGTTGCTTTGTACTTACACTTTTTGGCGGGAAGCACTTTTGACTAAGTGGCAACGGCAGAAACAGGGTTGCATTTTGATAAGAGCTTTTCACGACTATTTATAACTATCTGGCAATCTGAGCGGTGCACTTTCGCCATAAATTGCAGACGTCATTTTTTCACTAGGCGTGATAACTTTCTTGTGTCGTGAAAAAGTGAATTTTAATATATAAAACTATTTAAAGAAGTGCAAAAATAGTTGCAAAATATGGGCGATTCGCTGGACAACACCGACACATCGGTGGACCCAGCCGTTAATTTGTCCATAGCCAACTATGATGCATTTGCAAACTACTTGCGCAAAGCTGTGACCATTTTGTTGCCGGAGGAGGATGTTGTGCCGGAGTCTTTGAATAATGCTTTAAATGATCCAGTGAACCAGGAGACTATTCGCAAGTTCCTGTCTGATCCGCAAGTGCAGGCGCTCTATGTTCAACGTAATTGCATTAAAGGTTTGTAATATTTTTTTCTATTTGCCAATAGCTGAAAAAAAATGGCGACGCCCGGTTGGAAGAGTTCTAACTGGAACTTTCAACTACAATAATAACCGCTATAAACAATATATTTACAGCAAGTAGAAATATTTTTCAAAGGTGCAAGTTGCATACGTAACAATGTTGTTAAAAATCAATTGCCAATTGGGTTCATGTTTTTTTCGCTTCTTGTTGATGCGCATGACGTCATGGCAGCGGACTCAGAATTAGCTTTCATAGACTCAAGACACAGGTTATTCTGCGTGGTTAAGAGACGTGACGTCATTACTTCAAAATAAACACAGAATATACATATCTAACAGTTGTAATGAATAATGTTTTTTAGAGTTTATAATCAATTCGAACTAAAAAGGATCATATTTAGTAGTAAAATATTAAACTATGTAAAATGTGCACATCTGTTGATTGTTAGCACGAACCATACAACACATAGGCTTAACATTTTAAAGTACACTTGTAAACACATATAAGTGCGGGACTCGAACTATTTATTCGGGTTCCTAACTTCCAAGCTCGGTCCGCAAGTCTATGCGTTATTGTTAGAACTCTTATGTATACATGTTGCGCATGTGACGTCAACTCTGAAAGTTGGCAAACTAGTTTTACAACCTTATGGCTCTGATGAACATGCGCGGGACTCAACTGCGCAGTGCTGCCAGCCTGTTGCTTGTTTAGTGTGGCCAAATGTTGTTTTGATTGCCGGTTTGCCGCATTGTAAACAAACCAACAGCTGTTTTTCAATTTGTTTGCGGAAACGACGCGACCTTGAGCCCGTCCATATGTACATTTCATTGACTCGCGACTTTGAACGATGCCTTGTATCAGGGTCAGGCTATGTGGGAGCAACGCACGTCCAAGGTTCAGACCTTGAGTGCATGAAATTTGAAGGTTTCACCTTGGCCGCTGAATTTTCGAAGGTTGTCACCTTGGTAATGAATGTGTGTCAGTGACATTGCGACTGCGTCATTGAACACCAATGCCAGATAGTACTTAAGCATTGAATGAAATGTGGGTGAAGGTGAAAGCTTGATAACAGGCCGAAAAGCAACTTACTTGTTTACTCTCACTCTCTATCTATAACACAGAGGATGACAGCGAGCAGCCGGCAGAAGGTGAGGAAGAGAAGGAACAGGTGTCTTATCAAATCAGCAACGATGTACACTTCACCAACAGCCGCATGGCATCCCTGGCCTGCATTAAACGTGGCGTAGTCGTCGAAGCTGACAAGTCGATTCATTCTCAGCTGCGTTTGATAAACTTTTCCGATGGCTCACCCTATGAAACGCTTCATGCGTTCATTAGCAAATCATTAGCACCGTACTTCAAGTCGTATGTCAAGGAATCTGGACGTGCCGATCGCGATGGCGATAAGATGGCTCCATCGGTGGAGAAAAAGTTGGCGGAGTTGGAGATGGGCCTGCTGCACTTGCAACAGAACATTGACATTCCAGAGATTACGCTGACTGCTCATCCAGTTGTTAATCAGGTCATACGTAAGTGCGCCGATGAGAACCACAAGGCCAAGGTGGTTGACTTTGGTGACAAGGTGGAGGACTCGTCATTTCTCAATCAACTGCAAAATGGCGTGAATCGCTGGATAACCGAGATCAAGAAAGTAACCAAGTTGAATCGTGATCCCGGTTCCGGCACTGCGTTGCAAGTAAGCAAATGTTAATTAAATCATTATTTGATGTTAAAGTCTGTGTTTTTCTGCAGGAAATCTCATTTTGGTTGAATCTGGAGCGTGCGTTGTATCGCATCCAGGAGAAACGCGAGTCGCCTGAAGTTGCACTTACCCTGGACATACTTAAGCATGGCAAACGTTTCCATGCCACGGTTTCGTTTGACACGGATACAGGCCTAAAGCAGGCTTTGGCCACTGTAGCCGATTATAATCCTCTAATGAAAGATTTCCCAATTAACGATCTACTCTCAGCAACAGAGCTTGAGAAGATTCGTCCAGCTGTGCAGCAGATTTTCTCACATCTGCGTAAAGTGCGTAACACTAAGTACCCCATCCAGCGCTGTCTGAAGCTCATCGAGGCTATCTCGCGGGACTTGTCGCAGCAGTTGCTCAAAGTGCTTGGTACCCGTCGCTTGATGCATATTCCATTTGATGAATTTGAGCGCGTGATGAATCAGTGCTTCGAGATCTTTAGCTGCTGGGACGATGAATATGACAAGTTGCAAGGTCTGCTGCGTGATATAGTGAAAAAGAAGCGGGACGAGCATCTGAAGATGGTGTGGCGCGTGTCACCGGCTCACAAGAAGCTTCAAACACGCATGGAACACATGCGAAAGTTCCGCAGACAGCATGAACAGCTACGTACTGTTATTCTCCGTGTATTGCGGCCCACTAAGCAGGCGGCTAACGATGATGGCAGCGCGGTCGAAACCAAGCAGCCGTATAGTTTGGATGCTGCCGATGCTAATGCTATCGAAGAGGTCAATTTGGCCTATGAGAATGTCAAGGAGGTGGATTGCTTGGATATTACCAAGGAAGGCTCCGAGGCTTGGGAAGCAGCTGTCAAGCGCTATGAAGAGAAAATTGGTAAGTGAAATCATTTAAATTTAATCTGAGTCGAAATTCATTATGCTTTACTACCTACAGATCGTGTGGAGACTCGTATCACGGCGCATCTACGCGACCAACTGGGCACCGCAAAGAATGCCAACGAGATGTTCCGCATTTTCTCACGTTTTAATGCGTTGTTTGTGCGTCCGCACATTCGTGGCGCGATTCGTGAGTACCAGACGCAGCTGATACAGCGAGTCAAGGACGACATCGAGGCACTACACGAGAAGTTTAAGGTGCAGTATCCGCAAAGCAAGAGCTGTCGATTATCCTCGGTTCGTGATTTGCCACCAGTGGCGGGTTCCATAATCTGGGCACGTCAAATCGACAACCAGCTGACTATGTATCTGAAGCGGGTCGAGGATGTACTCGGCAAAGGCTGGGAGACCCACATCGAGGGCCAAAAACTGAAGGCCGACGGCGATAGTTTCCGCGCCAAGTTGTCTATCTCAGATGTGTTCCATGAGTGGGCTCGCAAGGTCCAGGAGCGAAATTTTGGAAGCTCCGGTAGAATCTTTACCATTGAATCGACTCGTTCCCGCGTTGGGCGTGGTAATGTTTTGCGTCTACGCGTCAACTTTTTGCCCGAGATAATTACGTTGGCAAAGGAAGTGCGCAACATCAAGAACTTGGGATTCAGGTTAGCTAAATGCAAGCATATTATATTTCATTTAATATTAAATAATATTTTTCATATTTAGAGTTCCACTTACTATTGTCAACAAAGCTCATCAGGCTAACCAGATTTATCCCTATGCTATATCCCTGATTGAAAGCGTACGCACGTACGAACGCACATTGGAGAAGGTAATATATGCTTATTTAATTTTCACACTGCACCACCACACCACCATCATCATCAATCAACACACAACCACCATCACGAAAGCTGGAGCAATTGCTCTGTTTACTTTTTTGAATGCATATGTCTAATGAAATAAACCAAAACTTGATTACAAGTAGTCTAATCCATAGACAACTTATATAGAGTAGATATTCTTAGTCTATAACGAGCTAAGTTAATATTTGTGTTTGCTTTAAAGCTTTAAACGAAAAGTTAAAATTTATTTACTACTTACTCTCTCTAACTTATTTAAATAAGTTTGTGTGGAAAACTTTAGACATATGCATAGCATAAATTTATTTTTACTTCGGAAAATTAGCTTTGTTCTTTTGCATTGCTTTACGTCTGGCGTGCAGCTTGAATTTTGTTATCGTCACCACTCAACAAGACACCCACAAACACAGCTCACCACTTACATAGACAACATAGTACAACCTCTTTTTAAATCAACCAAAAATACCAACAACCTTTCTTTCATGCAGCTTAATAATAGGAGTCTAGCACTAAATTCAGTATTCAAGGTAGTGTTGTTTGTGCCGCTCCCAAAAAGTTATTGCTCCACTGTTTGTTATTGTTCAATCCCGCATGCATTAGTTAGATTCCACTTATGCCCTTGCATTATATATTGATATATACTAATTGCCATTAACTTATATACAGATCGAAGATCGTGCCAGCATTGTACCTCTGGTTGCGGGCTTGCGTAAGGAGGTCTTAAATCTGGTCTCCGAGGGAATTGGCTTGATCTGGGAATCGTATAAGCTGGATCCCTATGTTCTGCGCCTGTCTGAGTGTGTAACACAGTTCCAGGAGAAGGTAACAGATGCCAGTTTTATAAAAGAAAATTTCTAAATAAACATATTTTAGGTGGATGACTTGCTAGTGGTGGAGGAGCAACTGGATGTGGACGTGCGTTCGCTGGAGACGTGCCCCTATAGCGCGGCTACTTTTGTGGAAATTCTCTCCAAGATTCAGCATGCTGTCGATGACTTATCGCTGCGTCAATATTCCAATTTAAGTGTTTGGGTTACGCGTCTCGATGAGGAGGTGGAGAAAAAGCTTGCCTTGCGTCTGCAGGCGGGTATTCAAGCCTGGACTGAGGCTTTGACCGGTAACAAGAAAGAGGTGGACACTTCCATGGACACAGACGCTCCAGCACAGCCCACGCACAAGCTGGGTGGTGAGCCACAAGTGCAGAATGCTGTGCACGAAATACGCATCACCAATCAGCAGATGTACCTATATCCGTCGATTGAGGAGGCCCGCTTCCAGATCATGCAGCAGTTCTTTGCCTGGCAAGCGATTGTCACCTCGCAGGTACGCTTGCAGAGCACACGATATCAAGTGGGTCTTGAGAAGCCTGTCTCGCAGACCTATCGCAATCTGCTGACTAAGCTGCCTGAGGGCAAGATACTGGAGAATGCCTATGGCGCAATTGAGCACAAGATCAGCGAGGTGCGCAACTATGTGGATGAATGGCTGCGTTATCAAAGCCTTTGGGATCTACAGGCGGACACACTGTACGGCCGCCTGGGCGAGGATGTGAACTTGTGGATCAAGTGCCTCAATGACATTAAGCAGTCGCGCACCACCTTCGACACCTCGGACACACGTCGCGCTTACGGTGCCATAATCATTGACTATGCCAAGGTACAGGCCAAGGTGACGCTGAAGTATGATTCGTGGCACAAGGAGGCGCTGGGCAAGTTTGGCACGTTGTTGGGCACCGAGATGACCACGTTCCACACCAAGGTATCCAAGTCACGCACAGATTTGGAAATGCAGAGCATCGAAGCGGCCAGCACTTCAGATGCAGTCAGCTTCATTACATATGTGCAGTCTTTGAAGAAGGACATGATTGCCTGGGACAAGCAGGTGGAAGTATTCCGCGAGGCTCAGCGTATTTTGGAACGCCAACGTTTCCAGTTTCCCAACAATTGGTTGCATGTGGACAACATCGAGGGCGAATGGTCTGCTTTTAATGAAATAATCAAGCGCAAAGACACAGCCATTCAGACACAAGTAGCAAGCCTTCAGGCAAAGATTGTGGCCGAAGACAAGGCCGTGGAGACACGCACCGTGGACTTCCTTAATGACTGGGAGAAGACCAAGCCCACCGGTGGCAAAATACGTCCCGATGATGCTCTGCAGCAACTCCAAATCTTTGAGAGCAAATACTCGCGACTCAAGGAGGAACGCGACAATGTGGCTAAGGCCAAGGAGGCGCTTGAGCTGCAGGAATCGGCAGTTCCCAACAACAGTGCCGAACGTATGAATGTAGCTCTCGAGGAACTGCAGGATCTGCGCGGCGTTTGGAGCGAGTTGTCCAAGGTTTGGACCCAGATCGATGAGACGCGCGAGAAGCCATGGCTCTCAGTACAGCCGCGCAAGCTGCGTCAACAACTGGAAGCTATGATGGCGCAACTGAAGGAGTTGCCTGCTCGTCTTCGCATGTACGAATCATACGAGTATGTCAAGAAGCTTATCCAGAGCTACATCAAGGTGAATATGCTTATTGTGGAGCTCAAGTCGGATGCTTTGAAGGAGCGTCACTGGAAGCAATTGACCAAGCAGCTGCGTGTCAACTGGGTCATCTCTGATCTGACATTGGGTCAAGTGTGGGATGTCAACTTGCAGAAGAACGAGGGTGTTGTCAAGGATATCATTCTGGTCGCTCAGGGAGAGATGGCGCTAGAGGAGTTCTTGAAGCAAGTGCGCGAATCCTGGCAAAACTATGAATTGGATTTGATTAACTATCAGAACAAGTGCCGCATCATTCGCGGTTGGGACGATCTGTTCAACAAGGTCAAGGAACACATCAACTCAGTGGCCGCTATGAAACTATCGCCCTACTACAAGGTCTTCGAAGAGGAAGCTCTCACCTGGGAGGAAAAATTGAATCGTATTAACGCCCTGTTCGATGTATGGATCGATGTGCAGCGTCGCTGGGTCTACTTGGAGGGCATATTTTCGGGCAGTGCAGACATTAAAACTCTGCTGCCCGTGGAGACTTCTCGTTTCCAGAGCATTAGCTCCGAATTCTTGGGTCTGATGAAGAAGGTGACCAAATCGCCAAAAGTCATGGATGTGCTCAATATTCCGGCTGTGCAGCGCTCGCTTGAACGTCTAGCCGATCTACTGGGCAAGATTCAAAAAGCTTTGGGAGAGTACCTTGAACGTGAGCGTACTTCATTCCCACGCTTTTACTTTGTGGGCGATGAGGATCTGCTGGAGATCATTGGCAACAGCAAGAATATTGCACGTCTGCAAAAGCATTTCAAAAAGATGTTTGCCGGAGTCGCCGCCATTCTATTGAACGAGGAAAACAATGTTATACTGGGCATATCTTCGCGTGAGGGCGAGGAGGTGCATTTCATCAATCCAGTATCCACTGTGGACCATCCCAAGATCAACGAGTGGCTGTCACTGGTGGAAAAACAAATGCGCTTTACGCTCGCCTCACTGCTGGCCCAGGCTGTACAGGATATCAAGCAGTTCCGGGAAGGCAAAATCGATCCACAGAAATACATGGAATGGTGCGACAAGTATCAAGCTCAGATTGTCGTACTAGCTGCCCAGATCCTCTGGTCTGAGGACGTGGAAGCTGCCTTGCAGCAAGCCTCGGAGAACAACAATTCCAAGCCCATGCAACGCGTCCTTGGCAATGTGGAGAACACATTGAATGTCTTGGCCGATTCTGTGCTACAGGAGCAGCCGGCCCTACGTCGCCGCAAGCTGGAGCATCTCATCAATGAATTTGTGCACAAGCGCACAGTCACTCGACGTCTGATTACGAACGGTGTCACCTCACCAAAATCCTTCCAATGGCTGTGTGAGATGCGTTTCTATTTTGATCCCCGACAGACGGAAGTTCTGCAGCAGCTGACTATTCATATGGCTAATGCGCGTTTCTTCTACGGTTTCGAGTATCTAGGCGTGCAGGATCGTTTGGTTCAGACGCCACTCACGGATCGTTGCTATCTGACCATGACGCAAGCGCTGGAATCACGTCTGGGTGGTTCACCTTTCGGTCCAGCGGGCACGGGTAAAACAGAATCCGTTAAGGCGCTGGGCAATCAACTTGGACGCTTTGTGCTTGTCTTCAACTGCGACGAAACATTCGATTTCCAGGCTATGGGCCGTATCTTTGTCGGTCTGTGTCAAGTGGGCGCCTGGGGCTGTTTCGATGAGTTTAATCGACTGGAGGAGCGTATGCTCTCCGCCTGCTCGCAGCAGATCCAAACAATTCAGGAAGCACTCAAATACGAGATGGACAGCAATAAGGAGAGCATCACCGTCGAGCTTGTGGGCAAACAAGTTCGCGTCTCTCCAGATATGGCCATTTTCATAACCATGAATCCGGGCTACGCTGGCCGTTCCAATCTGCCAGATAATTTGAAGAAGCTCTTCCGATCGCTGGCTATGACAACTCCTGATCGTCAGCTTATCGCCGAGGTCATGCTCTTCTCGCAAGGCTTCCGCTCCGCCGAAAAGTTAGCGTGCAAGATTGTGCCCTTCTTCAAGCTCTGCGACGAGCAGCTATCCAACCAGAGCCATTACGACTTTGGTCTGCGTGCACTGAAGTCAGTGCTCATCTCTGCAGGCAATGTGAAGCGTGATCGCATTATGAAGATCAAGGAGCAGATGCGTCAACGTGGTGAGGAGAACATCGATGAAGCTTCAGTGGCAGAGAATCTGCCCGAACAAGAGATCCTCATACAGTCGGTGTGCGAGACAATGGTGCCCAAACTGGTAGCCGAGGATATACCATTGCTCTTCTCGCTGCTTAGCGATGTCTTCCCCAATGTGGGCTACACACGTGCCGAGATGAAGGGTCTCAAGGAGGAGATTCGCAAAGTGTGCCAGGAGGATTATCTGGTCTGTGGCGAAGGCGATGAACAGGGCGCCGCCTGGATGGAAAAGGTAAGTGTGGCCTGGCCGCTTCTCTCTGACCATATCATAACATTCGATTCGCCTCACACACGCTTACTAACCACTAAAAAGGGACTCGGCTCCACTTGGGTCGACAAAGTAACTAATTTCATATTCAATATGTGTTCATTGACAACCTTTTAATGTAATGCTGTGTTCCCATTCAGGTGCTGCAATTGTATCAAATATCCAATCTCAATCATGGCCTCATGATGGTTGGTCCTTCAGGCTCTGGCAAGTCCACGGCTTGGCGTACACTGCTCAAGGCTCTAGAGCGCTTCGAGGGAGTTGAGGGTGTTGCTCACGTAATCGATCCCAAAGCTATTTCCAAGGAGGCGCTTTATGGTGTTCTCGATCCGAATACGCGTGAATGGACTGACGGTTTGTTCACTCACATTCTGCGTAAGATTATTGACAATGTGCGTGGCGAGATTAACAAGCGCCAATGGATCATATTTGATGGTGATGTCGATCCCGAGTGGGTGGAGAATCTTAACTCGGTGCTTGATGACAACAAGTTGCTGACATTGCCCAATGGTGAACGCCTTTCGCTGCCACCTAACGTGCGAGTCATGTTTGAGGTGCAGGATCTGAAATTTGCAACACTTGCTACAGTCTCTCGTTGCGGCATGGTCTGGTTCTCAGAAGATGTGCTTTCCACGGAGATGATCTTTGAAAATTATTTGTCACGCTTGCGTAGCATACCGTTGGAGGATGGTGACGAGGACTTTGTGGGTGTGATGAAGCCCGCCAAGGACAAGGAGGAAGAGGTGTCGCCCTCTTTGCAGGTGCAACGTGACATCGCGTTGCTTTTGCAGCCCTTCTTCTCGGGTGATGGCATTGTGGTGCGCACACTGGAGTATGCCATGGACCAGGAGCATATCATGGACTTTACACGATTGCGCGCACTCAGCTCTCTCTTCTCCATGCTTAATCAGTCGGCACGCAATGTGCTCAACTTTAACGCACAGCATCCGGACTTCCCATGCTCAGCTGATCAGCTGGAGCACTATATACCTAAGGCTCTCGTTTACTCGGTGCTTTGGTCATTCGCTGGCGATGCTAAACTAAAGGTCCGCATCGATTTGGGTGACTTTGTGCGCAGTGTTACAACTGTGCCGCTGCCAGGTGCTGCCGGAGCACCGATCATTGACTACGAGGTTAGCATGAATGGTGAATGGGTGCCATGGAGCAACAAGGTGCCTGTAATTGAGGTGGAGACCCACAAGGTTGCCTCGCCCGATATCGTGGTGCCCACGCTGGATACGGTGCGTCACGAATCGCTGCTCTACACATGGCTAGCCGAGCACAAGCCTTTGGGTAAATACACTAAGCCTAGATAGCAACATTGTATATATAACTATGTATCTCTTTCACAGTGCTGTGTGGTCCACCTGGCTCTGGCAAGACTATGACACTGTTCTCAGCGCTGCGTGCTCTGCCCGACATGGAAGTGGTTGGTCTCAATTTCTCATCGGCTACAACACCAGAGCTGCTGCTTAAGACGTTCGATCATTATTGCGAGTACCGCAAGACGCCAAATGGCGTGGTGCTCTCCCCTGTGCAGATTGGCAAGTGGTTAGTGCTGTTCTGTGACGAAATCAATTTGCCGGACATGGATTCGTATGGCACACAGCGTGTTATTTCATTCCTGCGTCAGCTGGTGGAGCACAAGGGCTTCTATCGTGCAAGTGATCAGGCATGGGTGTCTTTGGAGCGCATTCAGTTCGTTGGCGCTTGTAACCCGCCCACAGATCCGGGTCGTAAACCCCTCTCGCATCGCTTCTTGCGCCATGTGCCAATCATTTACGTGGATTATCCAGGAGAAACGTCGCTCAAGCAGATCTACGGCACCTTCTCGCGTGCCATGCTGCGTCTAATGCCCGCACTCCGTGGCTATGCAGAGCCACTCACAAATGCTATGGTGGAGTTCTATTTGGCGTCGCAAGATCGTTTTACGCAGGACATGCAGCCGCATTACGTGTATTCACCTCGTGAAATGACACGTTGGGTGCGCGGTATCTGTGAAGCTATACGTCCTTTGGACTCGCTACCCGTAGAGGGCTTAGTACGTCTATGGGCGCACGAGGCCCTGCGTCTGTTCCAGGATCGTCTTGTAGATGATTCGGAGCGTCGCTGGACCAATGAAAACATTGATCTAGTTGGCCACAAGCACTTCCCAGGCATCAATCAGGAGGAGGCACTACAAAGGCCCATCCTCTACAGCAATTGGCTTTCGAAGGATTATATGCCAGTGAATCGTGAGGAGTTGCGCGATTATGTACGTGCGCGCCTAAAGGTCTTCTACGAGGAGGAGTTGGACGTGCCGCTTGTGCTATTCGACGAGGTTCTCGATCACGTACTTCGCATCGACCGTATCTTCCGCCAGCCGCAGGGCCATCTGTTGCTCATTGGTGTGTCCGGTGCCGGCAAGACAACGCTGTCACGTTTCGTGGCCTGGATGAATGGTCTGTCCATATTCCAGATCAAAGTACATAACAAATATACTAGCGAGGACTTCGATGAGGACCTGCGCTGTGTGCTGCGCCGCTCTGGTTGCAAGGACGAGAAGATCGCCTTTATATTGGACGAATCAAATGTCCTGGACTCTGGCTTCCTCGAGCGCATGAACACTTTGCTGGCTAACGGCGAGGTGCCCGGCCTCTTTGAGGGCGACGAGTACACGACCCTGATGACCCAGTGCAAGGAAGGTGCTCAGCGTGAAGGTCTTATGCTCGATTCCAGTGATGAGTTGTATAAGTGGTTCACACAGCAGGTGATGCGCAATTTGCACGTTGTCTTCACCATGAATCCCTCGACGGATGGCCTCAAGGATCGCGCAGCTACTTCGCCGGCTTTGTTCAATCGTTGTGTGCTCAATTGGTTCGGAGACTGGTCAGACTCAGCTCTGTTCCAGGTGGGCAAGGAGTTCACCACGCGTGTCGATCTAGAGAAGCCCAACTGGTCGCCCCCGGACTTCTTCCCCTCTGTCTGTCCGTTGGTGCCCGCCAATCCCACGCATCGCGATGCTGTCATCAACAGCTGCGTCTATGTGCATCAGACTCTCCACCAGGCCAACGCGCGTTTGGCTAAGAGAGGTGGACGCACAATGGCAGTTACTCCACGTCATTATTTGGACTTCATCCATCACTTTGTCAAGCTGTATAATGAAAAGCGCAGCGATTTGGAGGAGCAGCAGCTGCACTTGAACGTGGGTCTTAACAAGATTGCCGAGACTGTGGAGCAGGTGGAGGAGATGCAGAAATCGCTGGCAGTCAAGAAACAGGAGCTGCAAGCAAAGAATGAGGCAGCCAATGCGAAGTTGAAGCAAATGTTCCAGGATCAACAGGAGGCGGAGAAGAAGAAGATACAATCGCAGGAGATACAAATACGTCTAGCCGATCAAACGGTCAAAATCGAAGAGAAGCGCAAGTATGTGATGGCAGATCTGGCCCAGGTGGAACCAGCTGTGATCGAAGCACAGCAAGGTAAGTTTTTCGGATACCAATGGGCGGGAGGGGTCAGATATTTAGATTGTAACTACGTATTGCCTCTAAGTCTAGCTATAATACTTTTATGATAATATTTAAATCGATACTTCCACACACAAACACCAACACCAATCTATACATAAACACTATTCGCACAATCGTTAGCCGTTAGCTCGATTAAAAAGAAACATCTGGCCGAGGTGCGTTCGATGGCAAATCCGCCCGCTGTAGTAAAACTGGCACTGGAATCGGTCTGCGAGCTGCTCAATGAGAGTGCCACAGATTGGAAGGCCATACGTGGCATACTCGTTAAAGACAGTTTCATATCGTCGATTGTTAACTTGGAGACAGATAAGATCACGTACGCAACTCTCTATATCTCTATAAGCCACCTGATATCTGATATATATATATATAGCCATCATTTTATCACATTTATCAATTTATCATTTAACGCCAAATCATCTCAGGTTGTTGTGCCGTATTGTGACACTAATTGGCATCATATATCTCCACATATATATATATATAAATATATAAATATATATATACATACATATATATATATATATATATATATATATATATATATATATATATATATATATATATATATATATATATATATATATATATAAATACTCTATAACATAACTAAACAACTGCAATATATATATAATCGTATATCTACTACTACTACTACTACACACACACACACAAACACTCTGCATACGCAATGCACTGGCAAATATCTTAACTTACTATATATATTTTATCTGTAACCTTAAACATAATGTTAAATATCATGTGTATAAGTTGTAAACTAAAGAAGTTGTTAAGATTTGTTGATTAATTTACGCTATTGAAAGCAGGGCAATATTCTTGATCGTCTGGTCTGTTTGACATGGACTTTTCCAGGATAAGCCAAGCCATAAGCCAAAATATAAATTTGGAAAGAAATGATAAAAAGTTATAGTTATACTGGGGAAAACGTCGCAGGCTAGTTGAAAAAGTAATTTCTTTTATATTAATCTATATTATATGTAAGGTCTGAAATATTTTAATAATATTCTATTATAATCTTGATCAACAACAATCAATATAAACAATCGACTCGACATGTCCGTTGTTTTGCTTGTCTGTTTATGAATATTTGATCAAAGTTTTTCGGTTTCTCATGATGTCTTACAATACTTCGAATATTACTATAAGCCAAATGGGCTTGCTAAGCCGAATCAAAGTGGATTATCGTATACGAAATCTACTATTCAGAAACAATGCTCTCATAAGAAATAACAGCCGTGTCCTGGAATAGCCCATATATCGGAATAATATTTGTAGTCTTAAAAAAACGAATCGTTTTAACATTTGCTAGGCTAGTTTTTACGAGTTAACATTAGTTAAGTGTCCATATCGTTGTGCTGCATATCGTTTATAATAATTCTGATCCTTCATGTTAACCCAACCACCAAACCAACCCAATCGATCCACAAACAGCTGTGAAGTCTATACGCAAACAGCAACTTGTTGAGGTGCGAACGATGGCGAATCCACCGTCGGTGGTTAAATTGGCACTCGAGTCGATTTGCCTGCTGCTGGGCGAGAATGCGACCGATTGGAAATCGATACGCGCAGTGATAATGCGTGAAAATTTCATTAATTCAATTGTATCTAACTTCGGTACCGAGAACATAACGTAAGCATGAAACAAATTTTACATTTTGTTTTTCTTTTTTGTTCTCGAATTGATTTAATTTTTCCTTGACTTTTTTTATGGAGTGTAGCAATTTTTTCTTTTGAGATTTGTTTTCCCGTAGTAATTGTGAATGATTAAGCGAGCTGCGTTGTCTGTAAATATTATTTATGTTGCTCCTAATCTTTAATCTTAACTGGTAATTGGCTCCAATAATTAATTTCTTAATACTTCTTCATTGTTTTAATGGTTTTGGTTAAATTTTTGCGTTGAACGATGATAACAAACTGCTTTGCTTGCTCAATTCATACCAATATAACCCGAATAGTGGCAAAATTTGATAACAATTAATAATCTGTGATCTATGATTCATTTCGGAATTTCACAGTGATGAGGTTCGGGAGAAGATGAAGTCCAAGTACCTCAGCAATCCTGACTACAACTTTGAGAAGGTCAATCGTGCGAGTATGGCTTGCGGTCCCATGGTCAAATGGGCCATAGCACAGGTAAATATTATATAGTATATATATACATATTAGTTCAATTCTAATCTGTTTCTCTTTTCCAGATTGAATACGCAGACATGTTGAAGCGCGTGGAGCCGTTGCGCGAGGAACTGCGCTCATTGGAAGAGCAGGCCGATGTGAATTTGGCAAGTGCACAGGAGACCAAGGATTTGGTGGAGCAGCTGGAACGCAGTATTGCGGCTTACAAGGAGGAATATGCGCAGCTAATTTCCCAGGCGCAGGCCATTAAAACTGATCTGGAGAATGTGCAGGCCAAGGTGGATCGCTCTATTGCGCTGCTCAAGAGCTTGAACATTGAACGCGAACGCTGGGAGTCTACCAGCGAGACCTTCAAATCCCAAATGTCCACCATTGTGGGCGACGTGCTGCTATCGGCAGCCTTTATAGCGTACGGCGGCTATTTTGATCAGCATTATCGCCTGAATCTGTTCACCACCTGGTCACAGCATTTGCAATCGGCTAGCATACAATACCGTGCGGACATTGCACGCACGGAATATCTATCCAATCCAGACGAGCGTTTGCGCTGGCAGGCGAATGCCTTGCCTTCGGATGATCTGTGCACTGAGAATGCGATCATGCTGAAGCGCTTCAACCGCTATCCGCTGATCATTGATCCGTCGGGACAGGCCACAACTTTCCTGTTGAACGAGTATGCCGGCAAGAAGATAACAAAGACATCCTTCTTGGACGATTCGTTCCGCAAGAACCTGGAGTCGGCGCTGCGTTTCGGTAATCCTTTGCTTGTACAGGATGTTGAGAACTATGATCCCATATTGAATCCGGTGCTCAATCGGGAGCTGCGTCGCACTGGCGGCCGTGTGCTCATTACGCTGGGCGATCAGGACATCGATTTGTCGCCATCCTTTGTCATCTTCCTGTCGACGCGTGATCCTACTGTTGAGTTCCCGCCCGACATTTGCTCGAGGGTGACCTTTGTTAACTTCACAGTGACGCGCAGCTCTTTGCAATCGCAGTGCTTGAATCAAGTGCTGAAGGCCGAACGTCCAGACATTGATGAGAAACGTTCCGATCTGCTGAAGCTCCAAGGTGAATTCCGTCTGCGTCTGCGTCAGCTGGAGAAGAGTCTGCTGCAGGCATTGAATGATGCCAAGGGCAAGATTCTAGATGACGATTCGGTCATCACAACATTAGAGACACTCAAAAAAGAGGCCTACGACATCAACCAGAAGGTGGATGAGACGGACAAGGTGATAGCCGAAATCGAGACGGTCTCGCAGCAGTATCTGCCACTCTCTGTAGCGTGCAGCAGCATGTACTTCACGATGGACAGTTTGAACCAGGTCCACTTCCTCTACCAGTACTCGCTGAAGATGTTCCTGGATATATTCTCGACCGTTCTGTACAACAATCCACGGCTGGAAGGTCGCAGCGACCACTCGGAGCGTTTGGGCATCGTGACCAAGGATCTGTTCCAGGTGTGCTATGAGCGTGTTGCACGTGGCATGCTGCACAACGATCGCCTTACCTTTGCTCTGCTGATGTGCAAGATCCATCTTAAGGGCACCGGGGAATCAAATCTAGATGCAGAGTTTAACTTCTTCCTGCGCAGCCGCGAGGGACTCTTGGCTAATCCAACACACGTTGAAGGATTAAGTGGTGAGCAAATCGAGGGCGTTAATCGCTTGGCTTCCCGTCTGCCCATCTTCCGCAAGCTGGTGGAAAAGGTGCGCTCCATGCCTGAGCTTGGCGCCTGGTTGCAGCAGAGCTCACCGGAGCAGTGTGTGCCTCAGCTGTGGGATGAATCAAAGGCACTGAGCGCCATTGCAAGCTCCGTGCATCAGCTTTTGCTCATTCAGGCCTTCCGGCCGGATCGCGTCATTGCCGCTGCCCACAACGTGGTTAACACGGTGCTCGGCGTTGACTACATGCCCAATGCAGAGCAGGAGCTGGACTTTACGGCCGTGGTGGACAAGCAGTTGAACTGCAATACGCCTGCTTTGCTATGCTCTGTGCCCGGTTTCGATGCTTCGGGTCGTGTGGACGATTTGGCCGCCGAACAGAACAAACAAATCTCGAGCATTGCCATCGGTTCTGCCGAGGGCTTTAACCAGGCTGAGCGAGCCATCAACATGGCCTGCAAGACAGGTCGCTGGGTGTTGCTTAAGAACGTACATCTGGCGCCACAGTGGCTGGTGCAATTGGAGAAGAAGATGCACTCGCTGCAGCCACACTCCGGCTTCCGCCTCTTCCTTACCATGGAAATCAATCCCAAGGTGCCGGTGAATCTTCTACGTGCCGGTCGCATCTTTGTCTTTGAGCCACCGCCAGGTATTCGGGCCAATCTGTTGCGCACCTTCTCGACGGTGCCTGCGGCCCGCATGATGAAGACGCCCAGTGAGCGTGCTCGACTCTATTTCCTGCTGGCCTGGTTCCATGCCATTGTGCAGGAGCGATTGCGGTATGTGCCTCTGGGCTGGGCCAAGAAGTACGAGTTCAATGAGTCGGACTTGCGAGTGGCTTGTGATACGTTAGATACGTGGATCGACACCACAGCCATGGGACGTACCAATTTGCCACCAGAGAAGGTGCCTTGGGATGCGCTGGTCACTCTGCTCTCTCAGTCCATCTACGGTGGCAAGATTGACAACGATTTCGATCAGCGTCTGCTCACCTCTTTCTTGAAGAAACTCTTCACGGCGCGCAGTTTCGAGGCAGACTTTGCCTTGGTGGCGAATGTGGATGGCGCTTCGGGTGGGTTGCGACACATTACCATGCCGGATGGCACTCGCCGTGATCACTTCCTTAAGTGGATCGAGAATCTAACGGATCGCCAGACACCTTCCTGGCTGGGTCTGCCCAACAATGCAGAAAAGGTGCTGCTCACAACTCGAGGCACTGACTTGGTTAGTAAGCTGCTCAAGATGCAACAGCTGGAGGATGACGATGAGCTGGCATACAGCGTTGAAGAGCAGTCGGAACAATCCGCACTGGCCGTGGGACGCGGCGAGGATGGCCGTCCGTCCTGGATGAAGACGCTGCACAACTCAGCCACCGCCTGGCTGGAACTGCTGCCGAAGAATCTGCAAGTGCTCAAACGCACCGTGGAGAACATCAAGGATCCGCTCTATCGCTACTTCGAGCGCGAGGTGACCAGCGGTGCTCGCCTTCTGCAGACTGTCATCTCAGATCTGCAGGATGTTGTGCTGATTTGCCAGGGGGAGAAGAAGCAAACGAACCATCATCGTTCCATGCTGTCCGAATTGGTGCGTGGCATTATACCCAAGGGCTGGAAGCGTTACACAGTGCCCGCTGGCTGCACCGTCATCCAGTGGATCACGGACTTTAGTACGCGTGTGCAGCAGCTGCAGAAAGTATCACAGCTTGTTTCGCAGGCTGGTGCCAAGGAGTTGCAGGGCTTCCCCGTCTGGCTGGGTGGTCTGCTCAATCCGGAGGCGTACATCACGGCCACCAGACAGTGTGTGGCTCAAGCTAACAGCTGGTCACTCGAGGAGCTCGCTTTGGATGTGACTATTACCGATGCCGGTCTGAAGACCGATCAGAAGGACAGCAGCTTTGGAGTCACCGGACTCAAGCTTCAAGGCGCCCAGTGCAAGAACAACGAATTGCTACTCGCCTCCACCATTATGATGGATTTGCCCTTGACCATACTTAAGTGGATCAAGTGAGTATTCCCACAGAATGTTTGCTTAATTTGAACTTGAATAATTTGTTTTGCTTTGCAGAATCTCGTCGGAGCCGCGGGTGAGCAAACTAACTTTACCCGTTTACTTGAATTCCACGCGCACGGAGTTGCTCTTCACAGTGGACTTAGCCGTGGCCGCTGGCCAGGAGTCGCACAGCTTCTATGAGCGTGGCGTGGCCGTGTTGACCTCTACGGCTTTGAATTAATATATCTAACTATATTTCATATTGTATACGTATTTCATAATATGATCCCCATACTGTTTTGAAAACCCAATCCCCCATCCCAATCAAATTTAAATATATATTCACATAACTAACGACCCCAACAAATAGAGCAATCCAGTCCTGAAATTCAAAAAAAAAAGAAAGTAAATATGTTCAGCAAATTCGGGAAACTCCTACAAGGGGAGACCGTTAGACTTTCTCAATGCCGGCGATTCTATGGCCAGCCAGTCCTGCCGTACGACTGCGTGCAGGACATGACGCCTTCCTCTTTGGTCATCGAAGCTGAGGCGCGTCGATTCATTCACGATTGCCTGCGACGATTGAACGTACCTTTTGAGAAGCTGCGCTGCGTCAGCGACATTATGCTCGCTGCGGACTACAGGGGTATCCATGGCATGGGCATCGGTCGGTTGGAGACGTATCTGAACGATCTGCAATATGGTGGTGTGGACATCACAGCCGAGCCGGAAATCATCAGCCAGACGTCGGTAACTGCCCAAGTAGACGGCCATGGCGCCATGGGCGTATTTGTTGGCAATTTTTGCATGGATCTGGCCGTCGAGAAGGCGATTAAATCGGGCATTGGCTTTGTGGTCGCCAAAAGATCCTATGACATTGGCATGGCCTCTTGGTATGCATTTCGAGCCATGGCCAGCGGCTGCGTCGGACTGGTGTTGTCGAATTCACCAGCCATGATGGTGGCTCCGGGCTGTCGGGAGGCTAGCATCGGGGCCAATTGCTTAGCCTTTGGCGCAGACGGTAATCACTCTCATTTTATGCTAGACATGGCAACCAGTGTAAAGGGGATGGGTGCTGTGGAGTGGGCGAACATCAACGACGAGCGTATTCCGGTCAGCTGGGCAATGGATGAGTCTGGCGTGCCCACAACGTTTCCCGGTGTGGCGTTACGGGCTAATCGACTCAATCCTGCGGGCGGGCAGAATGGATATTGCCTGGCCACCATGATTGACTTATTGTGCGGAGTTATGTCTGGTGCCAACTATGCCACGCGCCTTGCGGCCATGTCTGCGGAGGAAAAAAAAGTTGCAAGCTCAAATTTGGGAGTTGCCATGCTCGCTTTGGATCCGTATGTATTTGTGCCAGACTTTGGAGAGCGATTAGATGATTTCAAGAAGCGTATCGACAACAGTACTCCGGTGGACAAATCGCGACCTGTCAGGATGGCTGGAGAGCGGGAGAGGCTTTACATGCGCCATGTCGATGAGATGGGTGCGCTGTCCTTTCCCAACACCTTGTTGGCTAAATTCAAACACATTGCGGATAGTCTTAGCGTGCAGCCGATGCAGCTGGCCTTCATAAACGCCAAGCCAAAATACCTTCGGTTCTAGAATTCTAAATGTCTAGATGTTATTTTATGTAAAATAGAGATTGCAATTGTTGTGACAATATGTGCTGACGCCAGATGGCGTGTGCAGAGGAAGGAAGCTTATATTGCTTAGCAGAATTGATGTCAGTAAACGCTGCACACTAAAAACGAATGTCTTAAGATGACGCTAATAGAAATTCGCTGCCAATTGCAGCGCCACCTAGGGGTAATTTTGTTACTTACATAAGGACAATAGTGGGAGCAGTTTATAAAGGATGAAAGGAAACGTCGTTGGGTGGCGCTAAAAGAAATTCGCTGCAAATTGCAGCGCCATCTAATGTACAATTTTATTACAATTAAGGATAATAGTGGGAGCAGTAAATAAAGGGAAAATGTGAGGTGGGAGTACAGTAAGTGTAGCTAAAATACTAGGGACAGGCGTTAGTTGTAGAAAGTGTATATAGAGAGCGCTGTCAAGTGGCAGTTACTGCTGTTAAATTTTGAAAAGCTAATTTAAAATTTTTCTATATGAGATATATGTCAACTGTGCATCAAATTTGACCTGAAAACATAGTTTAAAATGGTTTGATTTGTACTTCCAGTCATAAATATCCAAGATGAAGGATGAATTCTATATTCTTAAGCATAGCTATAATAGTTACAGATACAATAATAGCAAAAGTTCTCTCAGCAAGTGTAGAGCTGCTGGTGCCACGACAGATCGTCTGCTCAGCTTGGCTCCCATGTGGTTTTCTGAACTACTTAAGGTAATTGCTGGATGCAAATGTGCAAATTTTCACAAATTACGCGAATTAGGCAGCCGTTGAAGGGGTATAAATAGGCTGCGAGTGCACGCGTGGCACTTCATTGTGGCAGTCATGTGGTCGTCTTCGCGCGTTCGGATATTCGGAGCCCTCTTGCTGGTGGTGCTGTTGCTGGACTGGTCGCTGGCTCAGTCGCAGCAATCGAAGGATGCCCAGAGCTTGGAGGAGTTCCGGCAGCGATATCTGCTGCCGCTGCTCTCGGCTGGCACTCGCAACTGCACGCTGAATGCCTGCGAGACGCTGAGGATCATTTCGCAGCTGCTGCTGCTCGTTAGGGCGTTGCCCAATGGCACGCTGAGCTCCAGTCCGGAGGCTGCACGACGAACTAGGCCGGGTGGCCAGAGCAGAGAGTCGTCGGCGAGCGGAGATGTGAGCTCCATCTTCAATCTGTCGGAGTTCGATAAGCGAGTCAGGCAAATCGAGAGCCGGCTGCGCTCCGTGGAGCAGCCCATCTGGCACCTGGCCAGTGGCAGCGAGCTGGAGTGGAACCACTGCACCTCAGGCGTCTGTCGCTGCAATCCGGACACCAAGAGCTTCACCTGCTGGAACACGAACCTGAAGACGGTGCCCGTCAGCCAGGTGATACCCATGAACATGGTGGCCATCGATCTCTCGCGCAACGCGCTCTCCACCCTGCACAAGGACACGTTCCGTGGCCTCACCTTGCTCAAGCAGCTGGACATATCGAACAACGTGCTCGACTTTCTGCCCTTCGATCTCTTTCAGGATTTGGATAGCCTACTACAGCTGTAAGCGAACACCATTCATATTCACTTGTGCCCACTGAACTCGTTGTTTGTCTCCTCGTGCAGTCGCATTCAGAACAACCAGCTGGAGGACATCGATCCACGGACTTTCTGGAAGCTGCGCAATCTGAATCTGTTGGATTTGAATAAGAACGAGATCAGTTTCTTGCCCGAGTCGCTGTTCTATCACGCCCAACGGCTGACCGTCATCAATCTGTGCGACAATCAGATCAAGAACTTCCCGCCCAATCTGCTGCGGGACCAGCTGATGCTCGAGGAGCTGGACATGTCGCGCAACAGGATCGAGCAGCTCGTCTCGGGCAGCATGCGTTACCAGACCAAGCTGAAGGCCCTGGACTTTGGCTTGAATCAAATCGGTGAGTTATCAATTGAATTTGCCGTTTGATCGACTGACTGACAGCTTGCGTCTTTAGCCAAGATTGAGGACGACTTCTTTGAGGGCCTGAAGAGTCTGCGCACCTTGATGCTGCACAACAATCGCATCACGTCCATCTCGGGCACCATATTCAACAATCTGGTCAGTCTGGTCACGCTCGACTTGACCATGAACCGCATCAGTCATGTGAGCTTCCATCTGACTAAGCCCAGCTGGCACTAGATTTACTTACCACGCCGCTTGCCCCACAGATTGATGGCCATGCCTTTGCGGAGCTGAAGAACCTGAACGAGCTGCTGCTCGGCCAGAACTCGCTGTGCAGCATACCGTCGGGCCTCTTCCTGCAGGTGAGCGCCCTCACGCGACTGACGCTCTTCTCGAACAACCTGACAACGCTGGAGGCCAACGACTTCCAAGGCCTGGCCAGCCTGCAAATCCTGATGCTGAACAACAACGTACTGAAGCACTTCGATGCCCGCGCCTTCGGGCCGCTCACTCAACTGCAGAAGCTGTGAGTTTATTGCCCTTCCATTAGCCACTCCAGCTCATTGGCTGTCCTTACCTCTGCCCTTACCCACCAGTCGCATCGACTCCAATAAGCTCATGTATCTGCCGCATGGCGCTCTGCACGGCCTGGACAAGCTGGTGGCTGTTAAGCTGGACAAGAACCCGTGGCACTGCGACTGCCGCGCCCTGTACTTGGCCCGCTGGATACGCGAGTTCGTGGTCAAGCTCTGGGACGGCCAGCAGCCCATGTGCCGCGGCCCAGGCGACCTGGGCGGCCACGAGGTGGGCCTGCTGCGCTACGACGATCTCTGCGACGGGCAGTGGGCGAGCATGCTGTCGCTGTCGCCGCGTCTTCCGGTGCGCACCCATCGCATTTCCACACCGATGAACTATACCGACTATTTCAATTTGTACTTGAAGCATATCTATAACGCCACCACGGACGAGCAGCTCAAGGAGGCCGAGATAACCAGTGTGGCCATCAAGAAGGTGCACGTCGACTAAGGCGTCTCGATTTCCTAGATTTCCTAGACTTCCTAGACTTCCTAGACTTCTCCTCTATCTGTCTGCCTTGCCTTAGCATATCTATTCAGCATATTGATTTTAAAGTGAGCTGCAGCAACTGCAGCTAAAACGAGCTCTGTATCTTTTAGTTGCCTTTTGGCATTCACTCTCATTCCTTGCTTCATCAGCTCAGACCTTCCCCAACAGTCAGGTCAACTTCATAGTCAGCCAAAACCTGGACATAACTCATTAAAGCTGTAGTCTGAGTAAGTATTTTACATGTGTAAGGCGCTAGCTCTATCCCTAAGCAATGCAGCTCCGACAGTTCGTTAGGCTTTGTGCCTCAAAGTCTAACTAAGCTCTAAGATCTCACAGTCTTTAGCTTTATACATATTTATATATACTCATATGTGTCCATGGGTAATTCATCCAGACATAGCTGTAACCAGTTTCCATTAGCCATTTCCCTGCTGTCTCTTAAATATTATGGCCATAATTGTTGTCCCTGTCGGTTGGCACTTGCTGCCTCTGCCTCTGCCTCAGCCTCGGCCTCTGCCCGTTTTCTATTAGTTCTCAGCCACATGGGCAAATACCTTCATGGCTAGCTGGCTGTGCTTCAAAGCAACTGCACTCTGTGTGATAGCCAGCTCGCTCTGCCCCTGCTCCCTGCCTTCGTGCCTTTCGCTCTCACAAATTACGGCCATGTCTCGCGTTTCGGTTTTTGCCTATGTGTCTGCGTCTAGGACAAGCTTTTTACCTAACCAATTTATTGCTTCCGTTGGCGTGCCCACTCCCTATCTCATGCCCTTCGATATCACTGCTCCTTGGCTCACCTAGCCGTGGCAGTTTTTGCCGTTGTCCTTGCAATTTCCATGTGTTGACATTGCCCACGCTCTTCGTTTTCCCGTTTTCCCATTTTCCCATTTGCCCATTCACTTTCCCCGCTTTTTGTCGCTGACCCTGCCCCGTGCTAGCGTCTCTGCCTATCTGCTGGCTGTTTCCTGTTTCCGTCTATTGCTGGTCGCCTCCCTGCGGGCGTGGCAGTGGGCGGCGGCTGACTCGCATGCAGACAACAAATGCATTTTATGCGAAATTTGCAAGGCAAATATTAAAAATTGAATGCCGACATTGTTGTTGTAATACACTGTACGCGCCTGCAGTGGGGCATATTAGTTCTGCGTGCTTAAATGCGAGCAATAGCTGAAAGCTGTGCACACATACTCTGCGTTAGGCGAGTCTACTGAGTGTGGCTCTAGGTCTTCCTACTGCTCTCCCTCACTCTCTTTGAGAGGTTTTCCTACAGTTCATAAAGTCAGCTTCGACTTGTAAGAGATGTTCAGACTCTCATCTCCTCTTGGGGTGCCTACATTCCTCCTCCACCTCTCCTCTACACATTCTTCATGGAGTCTAGCGGAAAGGCAGCTGCAGATTAGTTGCTAAAGCAAGCCAAGTCAGCAACTGCCATTGCCACTCCAGTGTGCACAGGGTATCTGGCAGTCGTTCACTCGCCACTGGGCACACTATAATTCACTGTTGTTGTTTTTGTTTATGCGCTGCCTTGCTTGGGCCTGGGGCGCTGATTGCCTTAAAAGTGTCTTCGCTTTGTGTCCGCTGGGCGAGGGGTGCCTGATAGAGGGGGGGCGGGAAGGGGAGCTGCGTAAACTGTCAACCCTTTTCCTGCATGGATAGCGAGCTCCGTGCATAATGTACAATATACAATATACGATATGTAATCATGTATTTTTTTCTTTTTACGCAGGGGTTGTGGCTGGGGGTGGTTGTGCAGGGGTTGAGTGTGAATCTTTGCTATCAGACGCATCTGTCTCAGCATGCGCCTTATCGTTGTTTTGCTTAAAGCGGAAGTAAAAGGATTTGAATTGCCTGCTTTGCCCTCTGAGCCGGCTAATAAAACAAACCCCCTTTGCCAACCGGCCTGGTCCCATGAGGGCTAATGGATGTAAATTTCTTCGAGTTGAAAATCACTCGGTTGGCCAAACGGCACTTATCCAAAAGTTTCTGAATCGGAAAGTCGTGTTGAAAAGCTGCTGCTTGACTTAGCCGAGTCACGAACCCAAGTGTGTTTTGCAGCGGCCGCTGCTGGGCTCAATGGCGCTGCTGTGCAGCTCTGCTACCTATCGCTTGAGCTGAACTCGCCGTTTGTCACTCAATTTACTCTTGAGCTTTTTCGTAATGCTCAAGCGCGCGCTTTAGTCAGCAGCTTCGCTCTGCTGTTGGCGTTCGGCTGCGCTCGTCGGCGCTCAACAGCCGAAGCCGTTGACACAGTGAACTCGGCAGTGGCCACGATGACGGACGTCGGCGTTGATGTTGGCGTCGCTGTCAGCAGCGTTTTGGCAGCATCTGCGATTGTTGTTGTTGCTATTGTTGTAGCTGGTGCTCAATTTTGGTCAAAATTTGTGATTTATTTGAAAATTTGAAATAATTTGGTTTTTATTGTGCAGCAGCAGCAGCGCGCAAATTAATGCAAATTTCATGCAGCTCTCACGCAGAGGCAGCAGCAGCCGCAAGACACCCAAAGGAGCAGTTGCTAAAAGTCCTTTAACGTTGCCCAGTGCCCGATGCCTGACCTAAGGCAATGCCAAGCCAAGCCAAGCCAGGCCAGGCCACACCAGGGCAGGCGCAAAATTTGACTAAGGCAAATTCACTTAGACGTCGCCCCGACGCTGTTGGCCTTTTGCACGGCGTTCGCAGCTCAACTTTTTGTAGCTGCCCCACTCACGTACACTCGCAGAAAATGAGTGTGAGAAGGCGAAAAGATCGCCAGATCTTGCATTGGCAAGTCTTTTATTATATTAAATGAGTGCTTCACAAGCTCCTTTTTGTAACACTAGTTCAGTTAGTTCAGCTTTTCAGTTGATTTGCTTAGTACGGTAGAGTCTGACTGTGGTCATCTAGAGCTGAATAGTTCAATAGAACTTGTAGTTCGTGAACTAGTAAGCAAATGAAGAACGTTCAGTTTATGAATAGCTGTAAAAAATTAATTGTACATTTCCTCAATAAGTGAGTAAAGTTTGTTATTCATGACCGACTGAACTATTTATTTTAGTGATCAGTGAATTAACTTCGTAGTTCCAACTGTGAACTGTTCAATTGAACTTATTCTGATCTATCTTTATTTGGATTTATTTAGGCAAAAGTCAATATTTTTCTAGATTAAACCTATATATATATATGTATATATATATATATATATATATATATATATATGTATATATATATTTATATATATATATATATATTTATATATATATATATATATATTTAATTCTATTTTAAGCATATTTTCTCTGAGTGTATATTTATATATACTCTATATATACACAAACACACTCATACTTGTATGTATATATATATAGCAAATGCTGCCAAAGGAATCATATTATGTGTGTGTGCGTGTGCGTGTGTGTGTGTGTGTTTGGCTGCCACTTTGGAGCTGCTACAACGCATAAAAATGCGAGTATTAGCTTGTCCCTGTGAATATTTGTAAGCGAGTGTGACTGTGTGTGGGTGTGTGTTTGCGTGTGTGTGTTTGCGTGTGTGCCGTTGGTTTTTGTGGCCACGCGTCCATTCGGTTGCCGCTGCTGCGCCTGGTCCTCTCTGCGCCAGCACCAGCTCCAGCTCCAACTCCAGCTTCAGATTGTCTGTTGGCTGCTCGCTGGCTGACTAGCTGGCAAACGTGGCGTATACTTAATTCGGTTTATGCTCGAACGTGTCGCACATTATTCTTATGAGCGACGCTGTCGACTACTGCTACGATGTGTGAAATATGCTGAGTGTGTGTGCGCAGCAATACTGATTAGATACACACACACACACACACACACTCACTCACAGCGCGGCTCAGTTGACAGAAAAACAATTAAAATTTGGTTGCAATTTGTTTGATTTTTCACAACAGCGAAATGAAAAAATGCAAATGATGAATATGAAAATGAAAATGAAAATGCAAATGGAAATCTAAATGAAAACGAAAATGAAAATTAAAAAAAAAACTGTAAAGTCTGCCCATTGACCTTATTGAGCACTCAGACGGCAATGGGAGCAAAAAGTGGACGCAAACCAAAGCCAGGGCTGAGCGCAACAATAAAAAAATTATATATATATATAAATATATATATATATAGTACTTGGCAAGTCTTTTTATTGTTATGAAATTTTGAGTGCTTGACAAATTTTATATTGAAATAGCTTTTCTCTGGAAAATACTTTCATTAAGCTTCAAATTTTGTTTTCACGCATTTTCCGCTTCGTCAATGTTGAGTATTCGACTCAATGGTGATTGAATGGACATGGCAGTGCCTTGATTGGTATATCATTAGGTCAATCATTCAATCAACAAGTCGTAAAATGATTGAATACTCTTTTGATTGAGGCATAAATAAAGCTGTGGGCTGTGGGCTGTGCTGCAGTGGAAGTCAAACAACTGAATAGTCAGTCAATCTGTGAGTCATCAATGTCTCATTGACTGAGTCAGTCACTTAGTCAATCATTATGATTGAATGGATGTATGGCTAGAGCTTACGATATCGTCAGGTATTTCAAGTTTTTTTTCAAACATTCTCTTCAAGCTATGAGCTATGCTGATGTAGAAGCCAACAGTCAGTCATCTGTCCTTTAAGAACTTAGCTAATTACTTAGTATATATTTTAATATATCATGCGAAATCATAGCATCCACGCATTCAGCGAGTAGCAAGCCCAGCTCTTGGCTAGCTAGGCATGGTCTGCGCCTTTGTTGAGGCCATTTGGAGCGGGCCGCATTTGTGGCTTTCATAATTTGAACGACCTATTTCGTGTGAAAAGTGTGTCGCATTCGCCTCGACTGGCTGGGTCAGTGTGGAGAGTGGACAGTGGACAGTGGACAGTGGACAGTGGACAGGAGCTGCACAAGTGGAAGTTTTAATTTCAATTTTTTATTGCTTGGAATCTGTTTGGACAGCAACCTGAGCTACCTTCCGGTGGCAAGTTTTAGTTTTTATTTTGCCTGTTTGCGTTTTTTCTGCTTCTTCTTCTTTTTTTTGTGGCAGCAATGAAAATGTTTTTCGCTTCGCTCAACTCTCAACTCAGAATCCCCCTTGTCTCTGTGTCTCTTGACTTTTTTGGGGCACATTTATTGGCTGGGCGACAAATTTTTATTGCCCAGTTTTAGTTTTGGTCTGCGGCTGCATATGGCGCTGATTTCTTCTCGCCAACTCCGGCCCGCCTCCGGTGCTGAGCTCTTTCGGTCTGCTGACAAAAGTTTTGGCCCGTCCTCAGACTGCGGGTCTAATCATATTGCCAGGCGCCGTGGCCAGCCTTCGGGTTACGTGATGCATTTTTACAAGACCAACCTGCTCCAGTCAGTCGAGACACGGGCTCTGACTCCATAGAGTAGTTCGACTCGCCTCGCTGCTCACAATTTGACTTTTGATGTGGGTATGTGCGAGCGTGAGAATGAGTGTGTGAGTGTGTGAGAGTGTGTGCATGTGTGTGTCTATGTGTTTGTCTGTCTTGGCACGCCCCGCTGGCACCATGGGCTGCTGCGAAACTTTGTGTTTCAAAAAAGGCTTAAGCTGCACACAGAGAGAGCGGGAGAGAAAGAGTGTGCCATATGAAGAGCTGTACATACTTTGAAATTAGAAACCAATTTGTTAGACAATCGCGATCAGTCGTTCGACCTGTAAAGACGTGAATTCGAACAGCCTTCGCTTAAGCTCTACTGCTGCAGAGTTCTAAAAATAGAACTTTGCGGTGCATTCTTCAACGCAACAGCAACAAAAACCGCACACGCAGCGTTTTCTTATCGCTTGCTTCCGCGTAACTCAATTGCTTTAATTGCAATTTACGAAATTTCGTCGCTTGGCGCGAGTGCGCCTGCACTCAAAAGCACAATCCGCGATGACATCTAATGTCAATGACCGCGCTACAGCTGTAAAGGTAAATGCAGAAATGCAAGCCCAGCTTAACGTTGTGATGGCAAATAGGCAAGCCTCCATCATGCCAATAAACTCAAAAATAGATATCGCCTCCGTGCAAGGCATCACTAACAACAAAAACACGAAACGTAAACAGCCAAATTCACCAAAAACCATCAAGAAAAGGCTCATCTTCGACGAACCAAGCACCAGCAATGCAGCATTAATATCAGAAAATCGATTTTCACTGCTCGTAGAAGAAGATGAAGACTACAGCGAATCACCTGTAGCTCCAGAAGCCCCAGTATTGACCGACCAGCAAACTACACCGAAACCTCGTCCGCCCCCCATATGGTGTCCAAACATCAAGTCTGTGGCCCTACTTCAACAGATAATAGATAAAGTAATTGATGCTAAATCATACGTAATTAAGCCAAAGAAGAATAACATAGGTGTATTAACCCAATGCAGTGAGGACTATCGCAGAGTTATAGACCACTTTACTAAGCTGGAATTGGAGTTCCACTGCTACCAGCTTAAGGAGGACAAACCATATAGAGTCGTGTTCAAAGGGCTTCACTCCAGCACTGATACAACACTAATTAAAAAGGAATTGGAAACCAAAGGCCACACAATTACAAATGTGCACAACCCACTGAGCCGTATGGACAAAACACCGCTAAATATATTTTTTGTTGACGTGGCTCAGGCCCCCAACAACAAAGAAATTTTGGACATTCGAGTTGTCTGCAGGCAACGCTGCACAGTGGAACTG